AATGCCCCTTTTCTAGGACAACATCCTGTGAGCAGTTGATTTTGCTCAGTTTCAACAACTATCATTGGCTTCCAGGAGACTTAAGGGTCATCATCATCTTATAACTCAAGCCTTAAATTAGCTCAAAGGTTATTCAGGAAGACAGATGTGTCTGTGCATATGTCTTCCTGTGCCCCTAAGTCAGGGGTGGACAATTATTTCAGCTGGAGGGCCGCCTAATGAGTTTTGGTGAACTGTCAAGGGCCACAAGGGTAGCCCTGCCCATTGACAAGTGCCCCATCCCCTGGTTGCCATCTTGTGACCGAACGTCCTGCCTCCTAACCCCCTGACTTGCCACCAGAGGTCCCTTCCCTTGCCCCCAGAAGTACTCCTCTTGGGAGGGGATGTTTGCCATCCTGGAACAAGAAAAAAAACAAATCATGTACTAAAAGTTAAACATCTACTATAACATATTTTAATTTTATTACAAAAAATATCTCTGTCATGATTTGTGTTTGTGTTGTGTATATAGAGGTGATTGCATAATAGCTCAAAATAAAATCTTACTCTTGTATATTGTGTGCGGGGCAGTGTGTGTGCATGGTGTGGGTGGAGGGGATTGTGAGGGGGGGTGGCTGTGTAGGGGGTATAAGGTATGTTGCAGGGGAGTGTGTAGTGTGGTGGGGGTGTGGGGTTTGTGGGGTGTGAAGGAGGGTGGGAGCTGTGGAGACTCCCCCTCACACACTCCCCCCACCCCCACCCCATGGCACACAGCCCCTGCCACCAGCAGTACAAGCAGGTAGCAGGCCCTTGCGGTGCTCGTGGCTCTTGCAGGTGCTGTTGTCCAGCAGTGCACAGCTTCAGCCAGAGCTGCACGTGGTGGCAAGGGGCACAGCCAGGCTGGCTTAGCTTTATCATGCAGAGCTCCCATGGCACACGTGCAGCTCCCGGCACTTGCCTGCCCGCTGCCTCCTGGCTTAGTGCAGGGACCTGCATGGGCTCCGTGCTCCTGCCAGCCCCAGCCCATGCTCCCCACGCCTGCCCAGCTTCAGCTCCCCCACTTCCCCCTGCTGCTTCCCTACTTGCTGCCCAGAGCAAGCACTGCAGCAGGGCAATGGGGAAGAGCCCCTGGACACGAGGGAAGCCGAGCAGGCCCTCCAGCGGCTGCGGCAGCGGCAGCAACAGCAGCCCCACCTGAAAGCTGCATGCTGGCTGGGCCGGGCCCTTCTGGGCACAAGGGTGGGAGCAAGGCGTCCGGGCTGGGTGGGGTACAGTTAATGGGTGGGCACCTGCTGGCCAGATGAAATTGCCTGGTGTCTGAATCCAGCCCTTGAGCCGTATTCTGCCTGCCTCTGCCCTAAGTCTTCTAGACCCTCTTGGTTGGCCAAGTGTCACCTAGTAAGTAGATAAGGGACTTGCTGCAAATCTTTAAGGTTGCTTAAAGACATGAAAAATAAACGAAATAGTGCTTTATTTTAAACTTGGCATGCTCCCGTGCTGAGCTCAGCGCATGCCCTGAAGAGGCATCCTATTAGTTTGACCCAGCTCACCCATTGTTTGTATAGATCAGGTACTTCAGTGGGGCTTTTTGGCACTTTTATATTATAGCTGATTGAATCAACTTTAGATAAAAGCACCAAAAAGCTCTGCTGAAGTGCCCAATCTATACAGATGCCAGCGGCCCAGATTGAACTAACACACTTCCTCTTCCAGTAAAGTTAGGAGGTTGGTTGGTTGTTTTTTCCACATCTGTCAGCAGCCTAAGTGACCTGAGAGGATAGGGAATGTATTGTGTTTTAAAGAAAGAAAAGGGACATGAGCTTTGGTTCTGTTTCTTACGGAAATTGTTGGTGAAAAATTTAGAAATGGTACTTTTGAGATTGCCCTTCTTGTGAAAGAAGAATATACATACATTAGGGAGTTCAGTGGAAGGAGGATTAAAACTTGTATGAACATGTTAGAATTAAAAATATCCACATCTACAGTCAGTTATTTTGTCTGTGCTGCTTAACACAAAGGTGCAAAAATCAGCCATGTAATTGCATCTGCTGTTTGACTCAAAGCGGTCTCTGTCCTCAGCGCCGCTTTCTTGCACACCTCACTTGTGCTAAAATCACTTGTATCCCACTTATGGTAACTGTTTTGAATAATTTGCTGTGATCCCTAGACAGAATTCTGCTGGTTTTCATTGTATTAAGTGTTTTTAGTCGTACAGGCATTGTCCAACAAACTACCTCTCTGCTCAGCTAAATCTGTAGTTCTTTTACACTTTCAGTGGTGGGCAGTATGAGGAAAAACCTAACATAGAATACATTCTCTCCTCTTCCAGTCCCAACTTTTGGGGTTCTTAAAATTAATATCTCTGATACACCCACAAGGGTATAAATAACCAGGGTTATATATATATATATATATATAATGAATGGAACATGGTTTAGGACTCACTTGGTCTTTAAAGATTTCCAACTGTGACCTACTACCAGTTACTGCTACGGTTACTGACAATGCAAAGCACTGAATCAAAGTCCTAGTTTTCAGTGGTGGTTGCCTTTGCCACTTTTTCATTATTTTATCCACCTGCCTGTCCTACCTTCTTTTCTTTAGATAACTGATGTACTCACTGCTGTTGCCCTCTACTTGGCCATCCAGGACTTCAACAAAGTTGTGGTAAGCAGATTTTGCCGCTTAGTTTTGCTCAACAATCACCCCATGTATTTTATTACATGAAAATATGTGCAAAAGGGATCAGGTCAAGGTCTGTTCAGACAAAGAACTTTCAATACCTGCTGCTTAGAAAGGGATATGAAGTGTGATAAATAATGAAAATCAGGCAACAGGGACACAGACCATGGGTGAAGCCATGTGGGCCCTGTTATCATCTGAAGGGGTGGATTTTAAGCATACTTGAGGTATTGTGGCATTGCTGAAATTACTGTAATGAATGTGAGCAGTGTAGTTAAATATAGCTGCTTTTGTCTGAAATGACTTTGAAGTGTTTAAGAAGCTAATGCACAAACTGCACTTGGGTCAATTAAACTGTCAGTGAAATGCAACCAACTCTAGGGTGAAATGTTGCAACCACTTTACAGTGCACTGCAGTGGGATGCAGCAATTCAAGACAAGAATTGAGAACTCTTGCTTTCAGCTGCAGTGGGAATTTTAGGTGCACAGAATTTAATTACCAAAGTGTGAATTTGGTTGGGCTTTCGGTCTGAGCCCTTTTCCTATAACAACTAAACCAATTTGTTAACCAGTTACTGGCCTGATTGACTGCAAACAAGGTTTGTGTCCATTCATGGCAAGGTTAATTCACAGACTGAAAAGGACATAATGGTACTTTTTAAGGTTAATAAACCCTGCAAGAATGTTGTGGGTGTAGTTTGATGCCAGATAACCCAGTGATATGCGGGCAAAGAGCAAATATTCTGTTGAGCCCGTTGATAAATCCAACACCAGGGTCACTTAATCCTCACCATGGATCAAGACTAGCAGGTGTTCCCGAAAAAGCCATGGTTCCTTTTGTAAATAATTTTATCAAGATAAGCTCTGCTGTCTGTGACAGTAGCAGTGTGCTTCCCACAGTCATGCAGAGGCATTGATTTAAAGGAAGGATGCTTCCATTTTCTTAAACATCTGTGTCCTTTGGCAGGCTCCCATCCAAGTACGTATTTGGCCTTACCCTCCTTAGATGGTTTTGAAAATAATGTGTTTCTCAGAAGGTACAAGAAAACTGTTTTTAGTAACTTTAATTATTCACACAGATGGAAACTGCCCTAGAAGGGCCTGGTTCTGGGCTCCTGCCCCTGTACCTTTTCTGCATCTTGCATTTAATATTCAGAGAATAAAACAGATAAATAGCAATGGGGCAGGTTCTGCTCTGTTGAAGGCAGAGGGTGGGGTACAGTCCTGGCCCCCCCACCTTTAAGTGCAGGGTCTATCTCATTGAGCCTCATGCTCAGTGTGGTAGACCTCCTGGCCCCTTATGTCTTCTCCATTTGGCTTTCTAGTGGGCCAGCTTCAAGTGGAGGGCTGGAGAGTTCTTTGGCCAGCGCTTAGACTGTAGCGTTGCAGTTAAAGCAAGTTGCTGGCAAGTGGGAAATGCAGGTTCAAATCCCTTCTGGGGCAAGGGGCTCTTGAGCCCATGTCTCCAATTCTCTGAGTAAGTGCCCTAATCACTAGGCTTTGGGCACTTGTATATGTGCACAGGCAGTCCTACCCACCTCCACAGGTGAAAATAGTATGTAAAAGCCATGTAAGTACATTTGTATTTGCATGACTACATGCAGAAATAGCCTAGTCAGGCATTCAACCATGTTCTGTGGCTTCATGTAGAATAGCTTAGGTTGCTGAAAATCAGTAGCAAAGGAGTTAAAATTAGGCTTATTAAATGAGACATTTTTTCATTAAGTGTAAGGGAGAAAGTATTCCTGTATAGACATGGTGGGGTAGACAATGGCCCATGTGGCTACCTACCATTCATTGCTCAATTATTACATCTGAAAGCAAGCACTCTCATGGTTTTCCCCATGCTCCCATCCCACTTCGGAAGAACACCTATAAAAATCTGCAAGATACCTCATTATCCTTCTGCTGACCCATCTTCAGAGCTCTATTTTGTTGTAGAGCCTAAACAAACTTGATAATTAGGCTGGTGATGTGCTCAAGCATTGCTTACCATACTGATTTTCCTATTACCGTGTACTTGCCAATCTCCAGCTCTTTTCTTGTGCTTAGATTGCGAACTCTTTAGGATAAGGACCATCTTTTTTGCTCTGAGTTTATACAGCACCCAGCACAGTGGAGTCCTGGTTTATGACTGGGGCTTCTAGGTGCTATTACAGTTGTGCAAAAAGAGTAAGATACAGTGTATTTCTGTATCTGAGAGGTTTTGATTCTTCTTCTTTTGTTCAGTTTAAAAAGCAGAAACTCCTAATAGAACTTGATAAATATGCACCAGATGTGGCTGAACTCATCCGGACACCCATAGAAATGCACTACATCCCCCTCAAGGTAGCACTGTTGTAAGTATTGCTTCTTTCAAGCAGATGCAAGATGTTTAAGGTTCCCAGTCCTATGTTTTTATTGTGTTTAGCTGTTTCAGCCGCTTCAGTGCTTTCCTTTTTCTAGCTTGGTATTTGCTCTTGGGTACACAAATGTACCAAATGTAGTATGTCCACATTCTGTAATTGAAAGCTAATATTTCTGTTCACTTACATTGCATACAGTACAGAGAATTGGCTTAATCACAATAGAAGTGGATTGATAATATACAATTACTAATATTACAGAGGAAAATATTTTCTCCATGGATGTGATAGCCTTCTTCTTTCATCAGAGTTGAGCCAGTGCATTCAAAATGTCTTAGATGTGTTCCCCTTCCAGAGGAACCTTTTTTGTGAAGTTCAGGAGTAACTGAGCTAGCTATTTTGTGGCCACAACAGTTTGAAAACACTGAGGTCATTCTGATGCATAAAGTTTCTGAGAGCATTTCTAGCTTGTCAACTTTAACGGCATCAAATGCAGTATTTATTCCATATGCTTTACATTCTGAAATAGCAAGGCTTTAATTAAAACAAATGGCAGGTACTTAAATTCGAAAGAAACAGATCTATTCCTGAGCTTTTGGATCTGAATAAATCAGACAAACCCCATGTCTCATATTAAACAACTAAAAGGATTTTGTCTCTTTGATCTCCTATTCCATTAACTGTCCTTTGATCAGAGAAGGCTTTTCATAAAAGAGACATTTTTATTGATTTTTTTTTTTTTTTTTTTTTCTTGTCATACATGATTTATATCAAGTCAGCAAATTGCTCCAGGGCAAGAAAGTAGGGGGGGTTGGGTTGTTGGGGGTTTTTAATTGCAGATTATCAAATATTTTCATTACACACTTGATGCACAATGTCACCAAGGAATATTGGCATTAGATATTTAATATCTTGATGTAGGTATTATCTCTCTAGTATTTGAAGCAACTGTTAATTTTTCAGGCATTGAAAAATCTAGGCTCGGATTGAGAGAGTCTAGGACTAGGATAAATATGATATCCTGAAGGAGATAAGGGCTTTGATTTTTTTTCTAACTGTTCTCATTATAGCAGCTGGTTTTGTTGTAATGGAAGTTGATTGATCCATTGTCCTTCTTATTGAATCAATAATCTGAATGTTCCTTAGTGCTTTGGGATCTAGTTACATTAGGTCATTGCATCATTCATTTCAAATTTTCACAGGAACCGGTGTCTTCAAAGATTTACACTGTGGTTATATTCTAAAAAGTGACTCTGGAAGGTAGTAATATAGGGTTCTGTGTTTGCTCTCTGTGATTCTAGTTCAGATAGGCTTACGTTTTAAGGAGAAAAAAAGGGGTTATGTTTACCATTACACAGTCAGTTTTCAGGATAGAACTGTATTTTAAATGTGCTTTCTCCCTGCTGCCATCTCCTTTTTTTCCATCATGGTCCCCCACAATTGCCCATGTCCTTCAACATGAGGAAGACTTGATTTTTTTGCATCATACGAAGACCCAAGTTCAGTTGAGTTGTTCTGTTGAGAGGAACATGTACATATTTAATGAATTGAAAGGAGATGCCAGATCATTTCCCATTTATTTTAATATATCTCCTTTTGCCTTGGTATTTGCACTTTTTAATAGCATGAATGTAATTGAATTTTATTCTCTTCCAGTTATCTCTTAAATCCATACACAGTGATGTCTTGTGTGGCAAAGTCCACTTGTGCCATCAACAACACCATTATTGCATTCTTCATTTTGGCTACGATGAAAGGTAATACACTAGGAAAACTTGTCCCTTCTTATGCCTTTAATGATTCAAACCTTGAGAGATTGTAAATGCAGTTAGTAGCTGATAAATAGGTTTAGAATAAAGATCTCAGCTAGTCCTACTACAGACTGGGTCAAAGCAATGTCAGAGGTCTTCTTGGAGTCGCAAAAAAAAGGGGACTTCATACTTAAACCAGGTTCTCCCATCCCAGTGTGCCTAGGATGTCTGGCCTGATCACTTCAGTTACTCAAAGGATTAACTGCCTCCTTGGACAGCTTTGAATAGTTTTCTGTTTAGAAACAAATCAGCCTCTACCCTTATATTTTCTATCTTATTTTCAGTGAGATGCAGGACTCTGTTGCTTTCTCTTGTATATATTGTCAAAAGTGTTTGTTTTCAAATAAACAGTCACCTGCTTCTGATAACAGCAAAGGGTGAGATGATAGAACCTTATTTGAAATCAGCCAGTTGTGGATTCATAAGTAGGGGCCTACTCAATTTGTAATTTTATGGAAACTGCGAAAACCAGGTTTGTCCACAAAATTAACTTTAAAAAAACTTAAGAAAAATAAAATGCTGGCTCCCCAGCGGGGCCACATGAAGGGCAGCCATCAGACAAGGTGGTGGCTATCCTCTTCTTCCTATGCCAGGTCCTCTCCAGCAATCAGTGCTGGGGGGTGGGGCTAGCAGAGCACATCCAAGAAATATCTGCAAAATTTGCTCTTCATGCTTTCTTTATGTGCTTGAAGCAGGAGGGTTTATCATTTAAACTACACTTGCAAAAATAGACAGCTAAGGCCTGTTTGGGTGAATTGCTCTTCACTCGTTCATCTATTCAGAGATGCACAAAGCTCAGTTGTAGCATGTCTGTGCCTCTAGCATGGATCAGCTTTTAGTGTCGAACAGCAAACTGGTACAGACACATATTATAGTTTCATGGCTGGTAGGGTCGGAAGGGACCTGAGCAGATCATCTAGTCTGACCCCCTGCCATGGCAGAAAAGAGTACTGGGGTCAAACAACCCCAGCAAGGTGTTCACCTCCTCTTAAAGACCCCCAGGGTAGGAGTCAGCACCACTTCTCTTCTTATGATTGAACTTAGCATCCAGAAATCAGTCATTACCATAAAAATGCCAAGAAATCTTCCAGCTATAGTCCATCTCTCTGTCTCAGCATTTTTGTGGTAATGAGTTACTGATTTCTGGAAACGAACACTTTGCCCACGCACAGCCCCCGCCTACACTAACACTCAATGAAACAGAGGCCATATGGGTTTCTGTCTGAGATTTTAAATGTGTAAGTGAGAAGACTCTTTATTTTAGAGATCCTACAACCTCTTCTTTCTCTTAGAGGCTGGAAGTAGAGCTGAGAAGCTGATCTATTTCAATGAGGGTCATTATGCTAGAATGGGCTGCTGATTGGCACATTGGAGTCAAAACTGCTCTCTAATCTCTTCTCTGTCACTAACCTTGAACAAGTTACATAGACTAAATGTTCAAAAAGGGCACGTGATCTGGTAAGCTTTTCTTTCTCAGTGTCCAACTCGGATCCCTTGAGCTTCATTTCTCTCCCATTTCTATTGGAATTGTGGGTGCTTGGCACTTAGTTCACTCAAATAATTGAGCAGCCAAAAATGGAAGCATTAAAATGAAAGGTCACATTGAAAAGTTTGGCCATTCTCCTTTGTCCATTTAGTTTTTGTACCTGTAAAAAGAACAAGAAAAAGAGGGAGGTCTACTAGTCCTCTGTCTCACCTGAGGACTGAAACTTGAGGCTTCTGTGGTGTTTGCAGAATGGGACATTCCAATGGAAACAGACTCTGTTAGCCACGGTATTAACATAATGGCTACTCGATGCATAAATGACCCAGGTACATGCATTCATCTACATAACTAGCAACTGATATTCTCTCTGTCTCTCTCTCTCTCTCTCTCTAGATTTAGGGTTTATGAATCTTTCTCTAAGTAGATGGAAGGGATTTAAACCAATTACATAAATTGCTTTTTCTTGCAGTTAGGTGTTGTCAGAGCCCTTCTCCTTTGCAAAACATAATGTAGAATGAAATGGACTGAAATAGTTATTTTTACCCTGGTGGTCTGAATACTGTGCATAGGGACTGTGCACAACTTTTGTATTTGACCAATAGCTTTATATCTAAAAGACCGTTCGAATCTGACCTTCCTTCTGAGTTGCAGTCATTAAGTGAAATATGTTTGTTTCCTGCAGGTAGTGCCTTCCTCAGTGCTGTATTTCTGGCCTTAGCAACATACCAGTCACTGTATCCTCTCACCTTGTTTGCACCAGCACTTATATATCTTCTACAGGTAAATACTCTCGAAGAGCAAGTGTCTCTAACCTCTGATATATTGTATGAAAACATTTGCTGCTGCCCAACAGTGAAGAAGAAACATTCAATGGTGGTTTCTCAAGATAAAAGAGCTTTCATCATTTCCCAGGACACTGGGTATTTAATATGTTGCAGGGGCCACGTGGAGGGAGAGCGGAAAACCAAAACACATCTGCAAATTTGGTGTTCTGCCTGCCTAAACACACACATATGTGTGTGATTGGTGACCAGCAGAGGGAGAATTTTGGAGCAGCAGTTTCTTCTGCACTGACCCATCATTGCTGGCATGAATTTTAAATGGTCCTTTTATCTGAGTCATGCCCAGAAATGCTTTGCTATTGGCAAAGATAACATGTGACCTGTCCCCCAGTGCTGGGTGGAGTGTACTTGCGGATCTTGAAAGCATCTGCTTTGCACTTCCACCCTCACTCCACCTCCACTACCAGAGTGTTGACTGGATTCCATAAGGGTTTTAGAAGATGATGATATCCTTAATTATTCATGCAGCTCAAAGGCCCAGGAGACACACTGAGCTGGAAAACAGATAAATCCATCAGAAGACCAAGAGCCTCCTTCCAAAGTGTGGAGGGAGTTTGCGGGGAGTGAACCTGAGGCATCTCTTTGCTGGTGAAGGAAAAGAGATTTATGATTGGTTTCTGGAGAAATCTTACCAGGCTCTTTCTAGGGACTACCCTGTTAAGTCCTTCCCCAGGTCCCAGATAGCTGATGCCATTCTGTACATTTCCACTGACACGCCTCCCCATGTATGACTTCTACAGTGGATCTTGCAGGCATTTTTTTCTGTTTCCTGATGCACATTTCCAATTCAAAAAAAGAAAATGTAGAAGTATCACTTTTATGCTTACCCTTCTTCCCCCAACCATCAAATATAAATGTCTTCCATTTTCCTGCAAAACATCCTAGGAATTTCATTGCTGCTCTAGATCTTTGCAGTAATGGAACATGTAGGTAATCAATGCTACTTGTTAAATCTGAAAGGAGACTCTCCTTCAGCTTGGGGAGCTGTTAACTACACCAGTGTAGTATGAACTCTCTCTCAAGTTGAATAACTTCATGCCAGGAGCAATACATAAGCAAAGTGTTTTGCAGTTGTGGTGACAAGGGATGATATATGAATGCATAATTTGCCTTTGGATTTATAAGGGAACTTTTAAAAGGATTTGGAGCTGCCAAAATACATTCTGCTTATCAGGATTTGTAGATGAACTTCCTTGCTTTCCTTGCATAGGGATTAAAAGGCTACTTTCTTGCATTTTCTAATCTGCTGTGTCCAAGGCTTCTGTGTAAATTGGTGTGAAATGTCCAAAAAGCTCTCTGGTCTTAAACTTGGTGTGGTTCAGAAGGGTGGAGCCTCTCCAAGTTGCAGCTACTTGTCTGTATTGTCTTTTGGAACTATGCAGCAGGATGTACAGAGCAACCCTTGGTGCAAAAAGGAAAGGCAGCATCACAAATTCAGAGGCACTGGGTTTTGTGGAGTTTCTGTAGGAGGCAGCTCATGTTTTCAAGCCTGCTTGCCTAGTAGGATGCATAGCTACTGACACTGCACATGTGATGAGGGCATTTCAGGCACAGACAACTGGTTTTATGGTGGTTGAATGTAAAACTGCCTGGCCTTTGGGCACAGTCCTGAAAATATTGGGCAGTGTCTGTGATGATTTGATTGGTCAGGCATATGAGGACTATGTGTGAAAAAGCTCCTTCCACCATAGTGGTGCCAGTATTTGTCGCTTTCACTTGGCATCATAAAAGGCAGATCTTGACATTCAACCTTTTGTGTGGCTTTCTAATTGACATGCAGTGTCTCCTGATTTTCTTTTACATTTCCAGCGTCAGTTCATACCAGTGAAACTGAAAAGCAAAGGCTTCTGGATCTACACCACGCAATACGCAGCATTGTATCTGTGCAGTCTGGTGGTGATAATCTGCCTCTCATTCTTCCTCCTCAGTTCCTGGGATTTTATTCCATCTGTTTATGGGTTCATGTAAGTATAATTTATTAAGTTTCTTTCTGGCTGTGCTCAACCTGTGCTGTGGGTTATGCATAAACAGAGCTTCATTGCAGTCTCAGAAATGAAACCAAAACAATGCATACACATAACCCAAGTTCCTTGAAATTATTGGGGTAAGAACTAAAGGAAAGAAACTAGGTGTGGTGTAGGTAACGGAAGTGGTTTGCTTCTTTTTAATTAGCAAGGTGCAGACATGTTTTTCTAACCCAGCTGCAGATATTGTATGCCTTGGTGTAGCTATATTGACTGCTAGGTGTCACTCATACTACACAGGAATAAAACTGTAAGTAATCCCGTCTGGCTTTATAAAAATAAATCCTCAAGAGTTTTTTATGAAGAGCCACTTGAGAAAATATGGACAATAATGGCCTATAAATATCTTGTGTAACACTGGGGTTCAGTGAATGACTTGTAGCCTGTTGGATATTTTGGACCAATTACTGGTATGGTCTAGAGTTGTATACTGCTGTAGTGAGCTATCTTGGCTTCCCCAAAAGGTTAAAGTATGGCTGGAAGTACTTCTACACAAAAGCAGATGCCAATCTAATTGTTTTCCTCTCTGGTTATGGTTTTTATTTTGGGCAAAGCAGATATTTAGAAGAGTGATTCCCTTTCCTTTTTTTCCCTCTTTATGGTTTCTTCCTTCACATCTAAGACATACCTCCTTCATCTGATAGCACACAGGGCACCTATATACATGGGGAGCATGGGGCAGATATTTTAATTAGAGCAGCTCTCGGGAGTGCATGTCATCTCACGTATTCAGCATCCCACGTTTCAAAATGGCAGCAGGGTCGTTTTAATTAAAGCTTGTTGAACGAGCTTTAGTTAAAGCACCCCACCAGCATTTTGAAACATGGGGATACCGAATACATGAAATGCTGGAGCATTCTGATTAGAACACTCCAGCAGACTCAATTTAATTTGAGAAGGAAAACAAAGAGTTCCTCATTTAATCGAGTCTGCTCTGACATGTTCTGATTAGAACATGTTAGAGCATGTGTAGAAGTCCCCACAATTACTAAATAATGAAAGGAGCAAGTAAGTAAAAAACCAACCACTTTAAAAAGTTACCTTGATTTTTCTTTTTAATTTTCAGCCTTTCCGTTCCAGATCTGACTCCCAATATTGGACTTTTCTGGTACTTCTTTGCGGAGATGTTTGAGCATTTCAGTCTATTCTTCATGTGCGTATTTCAGATCAATGTCTTCTTCTACACCATTCCCTTGGCAGTGAAGCTAAAGTAAGCGAGCTCATTTTCTATCCCTTTGTCTCTGAACTGTCAGCCTGTATGCTTGCTGACATTCTGTCTCTGGTGGTGGGAGTGAGAATGATAGAGGATTTGGGGGACTGGATTTTCTTTTCCTGACATATTTGCTGCACCAAAAGGCTTCAAGATTTAAAACCTAACCAGCCATTATCTGTTCAAGGGAGACCCTTGTGAGTCAGAGTGAGACATCCAGGTCTGAGAGGGTGAAGAAGAACAAAATTAGATAGGTGTGTCCTTCCATCTCATTTCCCAGAGCTGCTTTACTCTCCTTGCAGGGAGCGGGGGTGTATTACACTTCTGGTGTGTTGGAAGAGTACCTCATAATGTTTAAAAGCTCTGTATGGTCAGTATGTGTTTGTTTACTTGTTCCTACTTTTTGCAATGAAATAGCTTTTATAGTGGAGCATATCCCTTCATGTAATACTCTCATGCACAAGATTATTGGAGTACCTATAATATTGCAGGGGGCAGTGATCAGAGCAAGCGACTGGGTGCCATGACCTTGGATTATTCCTGATTCTGCTATATGATCGGGGGCAATCTGTTTTCCTTCCCAGTGCCTACATTTCCCCTTATATAAACAAGAATAAGGACATTGCCTTGAAGAGAATGGTACTCAATTGTGAGATTTAGACCTATGTAGGCTTGAGAGCTCTTTCTCTTACTTCCCACCATTCTCCTCCTCTCCCAAGAGTGCATCATCCTTGTCTCTTCCATTTGAGCTTTACAGACTGTTTCAATGCCTTATGGGCAGTTTTCTGAGGAGGTAGCAGGTGAGTGTTCCCTTCCTCCTCTGGAGGAACTTTGCTGTGCTCTCCCTGTCCATGTGTCTGAAAGGCTATAAATAGCGTGTAGTGACAGGCACTCATGTGGATTCAATATAAGGAAACACCTTTGTATCTCCTGGCTCTAAGATGTCAGCATCACTGCCGGGCCTGAGGACTAGCTTTCCCAACAGACTCCCATAGCAAACATGACTTCTCCAGGTTATTTTACAGCAGCTTGGTTCCTTCCTTATCATTGTCCAAAATAGCTGCAGTAGAATTTTTATTCACAGCTGCCTGGGAATGAAACAGCTGCTGTTTGGATATTGGGGTCCTTCTCATAAAAGGAAGTTGGTCTGGTTAAATAGTTGTTATTTGAGGTGAATCCTAATGTGAGTTTGACAGTAAGACACCAAGAGCTTTGAAGTCCTGTGCAAAAGTAAAGTAAAGATTCAAGGAACTCTGCCATTCTCTGTGAACACAGTCCAGTGTCTGTCTGGACTTGAGGGGACTCTTGTGCCTGGGGTTTGGGGCGCGCAAACAAGGTACCATGGGATAAATGGGGGGCAGGGATCTACATTACATCACTAGCTCTGTGGTAACTGCTGGCATCCATTAAGGATAAGTTACTGTGGGTTAGCTTTTATTTACAGTGGGGTAAGAGTAAATTCCCTGTTCATGTTTCCCTTCCTGTAAGGTGTGTGTTGTATAGAACAGGGTAAATGCATGAAGCAGTGGACTTTGAGGCAAAAGTCTTTCAAAAGCAAAGCAGAACTGATTGATCTTCTCATCAGTACAACATAGAACAGCTCCAGAAGGAAATGGACACACAGTGAGCTGCCTGTGGAAATGTATACAGCATGTATGTGTTAGGCCCGTGTGAACAGGGAAGTATTTGATTCAGATTTTGCTGATTCAGAGGACAGCAATTCGATTTGGAGTTTCGGATCGCTGTCCTGAATCAGTTTGGCCGAATCGGCTTCGGAAGATTTGGCAGTGATTCAGATTGGCCAGGCAGAGGCAGGCACAGCTGGGCACCTGCAGGTTCTCCCACAGCTCCTCTGGCTGTGCCTGCCTCTCCCCGGGTGGGGGGAGCAGCAAGAGAAGCACCCATGGCTGCCCTGCCCAGCCCCAGCCCCTGCCCGACCTCAGCCTCATCCCAGCACTTAAAAAAATTTTTTTTTTAAAAAAGCCCCACATTCAATGGCTGCTGGGGCCTCTGAGGCCTTGTGGTGCGGGGCAACAGGGATTGCCCCACCCCACTTGGCTGAGCGGTCCTGGGCTCTGGCTGACAGGTGAAGCTGTCCCAGCTCCTTGACAGCGCGCAACGTCCTGCCAAGTCATGCTGCACCATGGGGCAGCTGCTGTGTGGGTGCCAGGCGGGGCGGAAGGGTGATCCCTGCTGCCCCCCACTTCCTTGTGCTTCACAGGGGGGCTCTGCCATAAGCACCCAGAGGCCCAGTTGCCACTCCTGCAGCCAGTGAGTGTGGAGCTTTAAAATACATTTTAAAAAAGCCCTGTACTCACTGGCTGCAGAAGTGATGATTGGGGCCTCTGGGTGCTTGTGGCAGAACCTGCCTGCACAGTGTGGGGAAGTGGGGATCACCCCTTGCCTGGCACCCGCATGGCAGCTGCCCCATGGCGCGGGTGCAGCATGGCTTCATAGAATCATAGAGGTAGGGTCAGAAGAGACCTTGTAGATCTTCAAGTCCGACCCCCTGCCTGGGCAGGAGGAAAACTGGGCTCAGTTGACCCCAGTCAGGTAGGCATCAAGCTGCTTCTTAAAGACCCCCAGGGTAGGAGCCAGCACCACTTCCCTTGGAAGTTGGTTCCAGATCCTAGCCTCCCTTACTGTGAAGTAGTTCTTACGGATGTTTAATCTAAACCTACTCTCCAACAACTTGTGGCCGTTATTCCTTGTTATCCCTGGGGGCGCTAGGGGAAACAAGGTCTCCCCCAACCCCTTCTGGTCCCCCCCTAGTGAGTTTATAGACGGTCACCAGGTCCCCCCTCAGCCCTCTCTTGGCTGAACAGGTTCAGGTCCCGTAGCCTCTCATTGTAGGGTCTGCCCTGCTGTCCCCGGATCATGCGGGTGGCCCTCCTCTGGACCCTCTCAATGTTGTCCACATCCCTCTTGAAGGGGGGTGCCCAGAACTGGACAACAGTACTCCAGCTGTGGCCTGACCAGTGTCTCATAGAGGTGGGGCTTGGCAGGGCGCTGCACGCTGTCTGGGAGCTGGGGCCACTGGGGCTGAGTGGTGCCGGGCTCTGGCTGACACGTGGAGCTGCCCCAGCTCCTAGACAGTGCATGGCGCCCTGCTGAGCCACACTATACCCATGCCATGGGGCAGCTGCCATGTGGGTGCCAAGCGGGTGGGAGGGAGATCTTTGCTGCCCCATGCCGCATGGGGGGGCTCTGCCACGAGCCCTCAGAGAACCTGATCCCCACTGCCAGAGCTGGTGAGTGCAGGGCTTTTTTAAATGCTGGGAGACTGGGCAGGGCAGGGCAGCCATGGGGGCTTCTCCCACAGCTCCTCTGGCTGTGCCTGCCTCTGACCTGGCGGGGGAGCCGTGGGGGCTCTGCCCTACTGCCGCTTGCCCAGCCGGCGTGGGGGAACGCAGTGCAGGCACGGCTTGCTCTGGGCGGCAGCAGGGCATAGCCCTCACTTCCAGCACTGGGAGCGGGGGCTCTGCCCTGCCACCGCTTGTTAGCCAGCACAGAAGGTACAGGATGTGGGCATGGCAGTGCTGGGAGCAGGGGCTATGCCCTGCTGCTGCTTGCTCCCTTTTGCCCAGAGCAAGCCACACCCACATCCTGCCTGCCCACCCCAGCTGGGCAAGCAGCAGAATGGCAGAGCCCCTGCTTCCAGCACTGCTGCACCCGCATCCCCCGCCCAGCTTCCTGAGTAGCATGACCCCCGCCCTGGCTGGGCAGCTTGTCCCAGCCCCAATCCCTCCCTCCCTCCCTCACACTGCTCCCCTCCCCCCTCCCCCAACCCCAACAGACTTACCAGTTGGAGACAGCTGTGTCAGCTGCCTGTTTAGTCTATGGCCAGATCTCTGAAGCAGCCGAAACTTTTCCAAAGCTTTTCCGAATCGATTCAGATGCTTTGAATCGATTCAGAGCTTTTAACTGGTCTCCCGATTTGATTTGAAGATTTGGTCCTCGAATCAGGCTGAATCTCCTCCTAATCGAATCAGCTACTAAAGCATCACACAGCCCTGGTATGTATCCACATGGTGGTGCATATAGCATGCAAATACATTTTGGTACATGCAGCTGAGCACTTTGAGAGATTTGCTAGGGACACCAGAACAATAAAGCGAAAACTTCTAGGAGTTTTTCTTGGATAATGTCAGCATGTCCCTGCAACTTGTTTACATCAGGTTTCAGACACAAATGTGACAGCAGCTCCCTGTGGTGCTCTTTTAGTGCCTCTATCATCCAGTGACTGTCTGTTTCTTTCCCCTCTAGGGAACACCCCATCTTCTTCATGTTTGTTCAGATCGCCATCATTTCTATCTTCAAATCCTACCCCACTGTGGGAGACATAGCACTGTACATGGCTTTCCTTCCAGTCTGGGGCCACCTCTACAGATGTAAGTTCTGTGTGTTTGGTTCTGCCCCATGGGCAATCTTGCTCCACTTGGTGGTTGTTGGCATGTCCAAGGTGGGGCATTTAAGCGTTAACTTGCATCATCAAATGAAACTCTGTGACTTTCCCTTCTAAATACAACTATATGCTTCAAGAAGCACTGTCTTTTTGGGTTGGTCAGCTGGACGGAAAGGAAGTCGAATTGCAAGTTGCATCATGATGTGTCTTTGAGGGCAAGGGGAATATATGAGTTGTAACTTACTCTCCCTCACTTCTCTCCACAGGGTGATATGAGGATTAGTTGCTTGTTTGTTAAAATCCCCTGAGATCCTTGCACAGAGGGTGACTGAGAACAAAGTAGTTTTGTTTTATGGACATACAGTTCAACCACCTTTTGAATGAGGCTCAGGTGCATCTAATTCCAGTTTAAGGCTCTGGTAATTTAAGCACAATTCCTAAAACAGTCAGGTCACCTGGGCCTCCACTGGCATTCTAACCCCATAATTCACATCTGCCTCTTGCTGTGTGTACAGTAACTTGGTAAGAATGTATACCAACTGGATTGAGCCTTTGTTCTTGCTTCTAGCTGGACCAGACCAAAAGAAGCCTTCCTCGCCCTTGTGCAGCAGACTTAGTTTAATTGCCAGGGTAGCTTGTTGCTGTTCTTCCTGGACTCGAATTGCAGGGCATACCACACCAGAATGACTGTAGCTG